CGCTTTCACCGTGCCAGCCCGTCTGCACCGGCCGGGCTACACGGGTAGTTTAACGCCCAGGACGCGTTCTTGGGACGTGCTGCAGGGTGGGGGCTGCACTGAGAACCAGGTGAGCCTCGAGTCGCTTTTGGACGTACCCTCCCAAAAAGAAAAGCTAATGCATCAGCTCCCTATGCCACCGAAATTTGTCAAAATCCCCTCAGCCGTCTGTGGCGGCTCAGGGTTAGCAGGCAGAGGGATCACTGAAGCACTGCGGGAAATGTGTGAGAAAACCCTAATACCTGCCTAGGCTCCTATCTGCTGAAACTCTTCTTATGCTTTCGCTGTTCTTGCAATTAGCACATAAAGCAGCTTTTACCTGGTGTTCGTTAATGCAGACAGGATAAGTCCTCTAAATAACTAGAAGTAAAAATTAGTCAGTGGGATGCCTTTAAACATGAGGAACACTCCTGCAGGAACAGAAGGATTAGCTCACTTGGAAAAACTTAGCTGACTCTAAGGGACACATTTGCACACAAAAGGTACAGTGTTTCTTGCTGCTCTAAGGGACCGTGTTCTCAGGGCTCTACAGACACCGTCAGGGGCAGGAGATAAGCATCACTTCTTAAATTAGGCTGCAAGTACTCAGACAATTCTGGGGACTGGTCAGTAGTCAATATAAATAGTGTCTTCTGCTGCTTAGTATGACTGGGAGTGATCAGGGTATAATGGTTCATTTGCTTTTCTATTATCTATGAATTTATAGCTCACAGTTATTGCAGGGCAAATTTCTCTATATAGCTCGCTCTTTTACACGGGTCTGTGGGATTTCAGGCCTGTGTCTCAGAAACCACTTGCTGATTTGACTAAAAACCTACTCTTCAGAGAAAAATAGCAGCTCATGAGGAACATGAAAGCAGTTGTGAGGGTCCCTGTGAGTTTGGAAAGAGAGGCTGGTTCCAGCCTCCTGTGCCATAGAAGACCTGTGATTCTGGCACTGCCACTCACTTCACACATCCTGATGTCCAGGGAGTCGTGACAAAAGGGGAGATGAGACACGCTGAAACAAAATGTTCTCTCATTCATTTAGAGAAACAGTGTTAGTGTGATAGTGCCCAAGCATCCACTGAGACGGGTATGGTGTAAACACGTGGAACACAAAATCTCTGCTTACTTAGGTCCACAATACCGAGTTATTTGACATCTTTATTTTATCAATGGACCCCCACACCTTAGTGACATGTTTTTGCAGTGGAGGAGCTAGCACTCTGGGTGAGGTGGGCATCAAAGAGAGGAAGAGATTACTGGAAACTAGGGAACGGGAATCAGGCAGAAACAGAAAGTCCAGAGGAAAAGCAAAGGCTGGATATCTGAAAGGTTGTAGCAGCCTGAGGAGACAAAGATGAACACAAGCCAGCAGTACAGTTAAAACCGTTTAAAAGAATTAAGTTCAAGTCTTAGACTTGAAGGGATACAGAAACTGGGAAGGGTTCCCTTACTGCTGTTACACCGATGTGCGGCGAGTAGGGAAAAAAGGGAGTGGTGGATACAAGAGGGCTCGAATGCCCTGACCTGCCCCACTGGCTGGCCTTCTCGTGGGGGTCTGGTGAACACAGGTGTTCCCGTTATTCCTCATATTCCTCCCCACTGAATGGAAAGGCCGTGTACTCTGTCTATGGATGTAACAATCCCCAGGAAACGCTGCGACTAGAAACTATTGATTTTTTGTTGTGAAATGCTGAGAAATAGATTGCTGTACGTACAGGAGTTTGCACCTCTGTCAGCAGAGGAGAATCTGGCCCGAAGTAAGTGGGAGCAGATGAAGAGCGAGCAAAGAATTGCAGAACAGCAGCAGTGCTGCAAAGATGGCCAAGTTCCCTCTAAAGAGCGACAGAAATACAATCTTGAAATCTGTTGCATACACATTCCATGAGCGAGCGTGAGTCCATTCAGTTTTGCATGTATGTGTTATAGTTATTCCTGATTTACAGTGTTCTAACCTCAAAAGAGAGGCTGGGTCACACTTCTTTAAAAATTACGGTGAAGACTCACTAGCTTCAGTGCGAATTTGACAGGCTCCCAGCAGAGCCTGATTTTTTTTTTCTATTTTTAGAGACAGCTGTAAAGCTGTAGTCAAGAATTGCTTACATAATATTTTGAGAAATGACAGCGAAGCACAATGGCATATTTGACCTTTGGCATTAGATAAGTAATTGGCAGATTAAGTTAATTTTTATTCAAGCAGGGAGACCTGCTTTTTGCTTGCTTGTGAACTCCTGAACCATCATTTCATCATTAAACCACACGGGTACATTTTAAAAATAGGCTTTGGTCTATTGGCCTCCCTTTTCGACTTGGTGGCCTCTTCACGTGAAGGCAGACCACGCTCCTGCTCCCCGTAAATGACAAGTAGCGCCTGGTATGTACTTGTGTGCGCGTGAGAGAGAAGGAGAGAGTTTGTAGCTTCATGACTGACATTCTAGCAGTGTTACAACTCATTTGAAAACTCACCCAGAAAACATCTTTGTCACTGTGCAGCTGAGGAGCCACTTTCAAGACCTGTGGCTCAGGGCTAAGTCCTCCAGTGAATTTTCCCTTTCCCTTTCCAGACGCTGGGTTATGGGCAAGTCAGAAAGCCAGATGGATATAACTGAAATGAATACTCCAAAACCAAAGAAGAAACTGCGCTGGAGTGGCCTGGAAATAGGGCTGGCTGTTGTCGTGATTCTGCTAGCTATCGTGGCGATCACAATGATAGCTCTGTACGCAACGTATGACGGTGAGTGCACTTAAACTGCCTTTGAACGTACAAAACATATGAATATAAAAGAATTTTAAGAAATTACCAGAAAATGCTTTAGTAACTAGAATCCAGTCGTTAGTATATAGTAAAAAAATACTGAAGCTGCACTACATTGAAGTGTTGTATTAGAAAAGACTGTGTTGCATGGCATATGTAGCTGCACTACATAAAACATAAAGAAAATAAAATAATGAGGTCAGCTCAGAATTATTTGCTCAGTAATAGAAAATTGTACCTCACCAGTGTACAAAATGTAGCTGCTACATCACAGCCGTGTTTCATGTGAATGCCACTAGGCAGTACGAGCCACTACCTGAAACGTAAAGCCGCACCCACACTTCTCGTGGCTGGTCACCGACACGAAACTGCTTTTTCCCCGCAGGGACTCTACAGATTCATTTATTCATGCAAAGTTGTGCAAACACCAAACATCTGCTTGTTCTGACACAGCAATACTTCTGTTTGTAATTAATGCTTCAGTGAGCAGAAAACTGCAAAAAACAACACTGCTGAAGAAAAGCAAATGAGAGTGCTTCCTCCATATTCCTGTATATATATATATATATATATGAAAGTCCTGTTTTTCCCTTTACAGGCCGTTGCAGCAAGGACTCTTAGTGAGTGTAGTCACACTAACACACTAAGAGGATTTGTGATTCAGCAGCCCTTCCAAAATATTTAAAAATAATTCTATTCAGGGGTAGACACGCTGATAATTTTTGGAAAAGATAATACAGAGAAGCTAAAATTTCCATTTGGGGTCAAACTAGAATGCTTCATTGCATTGGAAATGAAATGCTTTGTTTCATTTTAAAGTACTTAATATTTTTGTTTGAACTTTTTATTAGAGTCTAGTTCAATTATGGAATGGAAAAATGCCATTCTGAAATGAAAAATAAAAAATGTTTAAATAAAGACTCAAAAGGAAACATTTTCATGTTCCTGAACCTTGTATTTTGTTTAGAAGACGTCAGAGTGAATGTCTCAGAATTTTCAGTTAATTCCTCCAAAATCTTTCTGTCATTGAAGGGTATTGCTAAATTCAAACTGACTTTGGCACTGCCTTCAGTCCATGTGCTGTTTTTCTCTAAATTTCTTCTTTGTGATCAAAATAATATTTTGCCCACCTCTGATTGATTGATAGAACATTTTCCTCTGATGACTACAAAAATTCCACGTGGTGAGTGACTAGCACTGAGTGACCCTACGGGGATGAACATGATGGTATGTTTTAGAGTCTGATCCTATAAATATTCACTTCCTGAGTGTGAGGCGTCCGTTTGCCTTTATCTTACTGTACATTGCAATCAAATGCAATTCTAAAGTGACTGTCAATGAAAACAGTATTTACAGTAGGTTTTATTACACTGACATTCAGTAAAGAATTAAGAATATGATTGTATCCTCTTTTAGATGGGATTTGCAAGACATCAGACTGTATAAAATCAGGTAAGAATGAAAATATATTCCTTTAAAATTAATTTCTATGTTTTTAAACAGAATTACCACCATGTAATGTTCCCATCTAACTGCAGACAAGTGTGGCCCATTGAGGCATGGGACCTGCTAACCCCAACACTTTTCTTAGCATAGCTCTTCTACAGGTGTAAAATCTTGTGGTGTGACATTGTCAGATCTTACAAAGTCACCAGGGTCTGGTTAGTCTAAGACAGACTCTCCAAAGAATGCCTTCAGCTTCAGAAAACGCTTTAAGTCAATCAGAAGTTTGCTCTTCCCCACACCCACCTCCAAGTCAGAATTCAAGCAAAGGCTGTGTCTTTACAGAGGGTACATTAAAAGAAAGTCTTGATCACTGACAGCCATTAAAGATGCCACGCTACTGTCTGAGGAGACGCAATATTCATCTTCATGTTCCAAAAAAATTCCCAATGTTACAGTCTGACAAGCTAACTTTGTCCTTCAGTAACAACTGCGTAAAACGTTCTTAGTTTACATCCTGATCTGAACTCTACTAGAAAGCTACTGAAATGCATCAGAGAAATGCTGAGTTCTGCACTATATATCCCCTTGCAGGTAAAGGAGTAGTTATCCATTCTCTCCCCTTCCTCTCATCTATAGTTCTTGTCCTTTCTGTCTTCTCCTCCAGATCAGTTCATGCTGTTTTCCCCTTTTTTGCCTAATTTAATTCTGAATGTCCCCCCCATTCTCTTTACAACTTTTCCTCCACCTCATTAGCACAGACTGCTCCTAGGCTCGGAAGCGGCCTCTCTCGTTCCTCGAAAGAGAGGAGCATTTAGCCGGCTGTGCCAACGTAGATTCCAAAGGGGCTCTATGCCAGCTCTGCCCTGCTTTCTCCTTTCGTGCCATTGCCCGTGGTCAAACCGCGGACGGTTCTTCATGGCCTTGCTGCAGTCTTCTCCAAGGAGAGCCCTACATTGCCAAGGCAGAATCACGATGCTCTAGCTGTACGCCCCTGTAACGGGTCCCTCTTGATTCTGTGTGTTTCTGGGAAGCTTCTGAAGATGGGACCCCTGAAGTCACTCTCTTGGTGCTCCTCTCTGGCAGGCATTCCTCTTTTGCTTTCTGCCCCCCTGTAGAATAACTTGGCCACGCAGTTTACAAAGGCTGTGGCCCAGTCACAGAGAGTGGCAAGAAATCTGAAACGGAAGCCCAGAACACAGATCATTTCTCAGCACCCGCACTGTGACCTCTGAGCTCACCAAGCTGTTCAACTCTGGTAACCTCCCATTGAAAAGCACAATAACCATTCTAATAGCTGTGGGTTATCTCCACGTCAAGTGGAACTCGTAACTGCTATGTAGATTCTGTACATCATGACTGGCCCCTCTGGACGTTAAGAGAAAAGACAGCACTAGAAGCCAGAAACCCAGTATGTCAACAAGAGACAGAGGAAAGGTGGTGAGGAGTCATAAAGGATTTGACAGTCAACACGCAAGAAAAATGGATGTGCTTGCAAGCAAGAGTGTATGTAATTTAAATACAGTTGGTAAGCAATCTGCGCTACACAGCACCCTGTGGGAGGCTTCCAAGAGGGTTTAGTTCGTAGGCTCCGTTTAGACTTGCAGACGTGCCAGAAACAGCACAGAAAGGTCATTATATTGGTTTCCTTACTTCTGTGGGAGTGTTAGTTTTAGGTCTCATTTTAGACAGTACCCAAAGTAGCCGGGGTAGATCCCCCCACACCTCAGTCCTGCTGGAGTCATCCGTTGGTGAAGCCCCAACGCAGTCCATGGTCTCAATAACTCCATATTGCCATCAGCATGGTCAAAGTATCTTACGGGATTTATTTCAGGTGGTCATCACTGTCTTCTAGTTACAATCCCAAGGGGTTTTTGTGTTGCCGTGAAAGCTAATGCTGTGGTTTGAAAAATGGTCACATTATTTATCTACTTGATTTTTTTAATCTCTGAAGATGCTCATTTTCAGCTAAATACGCCTATCTGTTAAGAAGTTCCAACAGACTGCATAGTGATGATGAACTCAAAAGGGAAAAGCAGTAGAAGGTCTGGAGGAATGAAAGATCAAATAAGATCTAAACGGATGCAAAAGCAAAGGTGTCAGACCGGGGCAGTTCCTTCTGACCATATTATGAGCTGCAGCATTAGTACGTGTTTCTGCCTAGCGAGGGTCAGTGCCAGAAGCAGCTGAAAATCTGCCCGGCCTGTTAGACTGCTGTGGCAGTGACACGTACCCTGCGGGAAGCAGGTAGGGTCAGGGAGCCCCCACATGAAGTCTGGACGTGCTAGCTGTTCCTGTCAGCTCCAAACACTGCATCTGTCTGTAGGTGATTTAGAATGGATAGCTCTAAGCAACGCTGGGAATGACCAGTTTGAATTTGAAATTGTTATTTATTAAGTGAGCCAGGGTTTCCATGTCCCACCGTGATATAATGCATTTCAGGTAGAAATTGCTGTGGAAGTGTTGGGCCTTCTCTGCGCTCCCATGGCCATTAAGTGAAACATAGTCAGATTATGGAAAGGGGAGGCAAGTGCTGGTAAGGACATAATCACCTAGCAGACTTGTTCGATTAGGCGGTCACTCGAGTGAGGGAGCTCTCAACTCCAGAAGCAGGACACGGTGAATCAGGAGCGCAGAATGGTTAGCTGGCATCTGCTCAGGCCTTCAGTGCCTCAAGAGCATCAAAAGTAGTTCAAAGAGTTTCTCACAATTACATAATTTAGTAACAAAACAAATTAATATTTTTAAAATGCAATGTAGAGTGCTTAAAACAGAGCAACAAACTGTACTATTGCTGTTTAATAATAATCTTACTGGGATGAATCTACAAGTTGAATTTTACTTCAAGTCAGGATTTCATAACAGTTCCATCTTTAATTTGGCTGCTTCTTCCAGACCATGCAGGATAACAGACAGGAAGGTAGACAGGTAGATACAGGTAGAAAGCATTAACTTTGCAAAATTCATTGTGGTCTTTCAAGAAATATAATTAGGAATAGACGTTAAGTGAAATGGTAATGCCTTGCACCAGAGCTGACCAGTACTGTGGCAGTTTTCACAATCAATTTCAAAATTTTGCAAAAGGTACAAGCCACAGAATAAAGTGAAGATACAGACAGAATTTATAGTGCATTTAATAGAAGAGCTTCAAATAAAAGACCAGAAGAAAAAATAAAATGAAAATTCAGTTGGGTCAAATACACAGGGTCAAATATCAGTAACTGCCTGATGACGCTGTTGAGGTCTGTGAAATCCATTGCAGGGCAGCACACAAAGATACCAGTGATTTGCACGTTTGAGCATTTTTTGAATAAGCTGACATACTCTCTGCTAATTTTCCTGAGCTCAGACAGCTCAGACTGATGAGAATAGGGAATTTTGATCTCTCTCACATCAGTTTCACCTACGTAAGCATATTGTGATTCTCCTATATCCTCCCCAGGTCACTGGTTGTTATGTCAGCTTGTATTACTTTATTAGTAAGCTATTAAGGCAACAACCAGCAATTAGGAGTACTACAATAAAATTAATCATTAAAAGTAATTGAGATAAGGCTCTACATTCTTCAGTGACAGTTAGGAAATTGAATAAACAAACCCAGACACTGGTTCATCAAAGCAATACTGAGGACTAGTGAGAAGTGTACCACGTACTACCTGTGTTTACGTATAAATTAACCTGTACTAGAAATAAAATCACAAAATATTCATCAGTCTCACACTTAACGGTTTCCAGAGCAAAAACGTCTCCGTGTGTACAGCCGTGAACTTACCATAAAGCTTCTTTGGGTACCACTATCAACGTATAAATAACTCAGAGCATGTTTAGGATCCTGTCCAGCCTGACTGGTCCCCCTGACTTCGAAGGGGCAGTGCACGTGGCAGTATGCTTCTGGGCTTGGTTGGTAACAGTCACATTTCATTGATTTTAATATATCCACGGTGTCGGCCAAATAATGAATCTTTATCTTGGATTCAAATGTGCAAATTTCACTCTTGAGGAAAGTATCCTTCAGGAGCGTACCTAATACATGTCTTTTGCATGAAGCCCTAAGGGAAAGACTGCAGTTCCCATGTCTGAGCTCCTTCTGTTACGTTTGCAGTACTTAAACATCAAGTTTTGATAACAGTTGATTAGCTAACACTGGCTAGCCTGGACTTTACAGCAGAAAAGTTACAATAGGCGATTATTTTTGTGTGACAGTGGCAGGCAAGGAAGCTCGAACAGATGCTGACTACAGATAGAGCAACCTGATTCCACAGTTAAAGCAAGGCTTGATATTACATAGACTGTTAAAATTTCCTCAGATTTACACAAGATGTGGATTTCTCCTGGGTTTTATTGTGTTGGGTTTTTTTTTCGCAAAAGTGACAAGCAGCGGCTAAGAGCCACCTTTTCTTGGTGCCAGATTCCCCTGTCCTGCCCTTCCTTTGGGCACACTGCTCTGAATGAGCCAGCTGTGATGTCCGGTCCTGGCTGTTACAGTCTTTGTTGCTGGATGAACACACGCCAAGATAACCCAAGGGATGGTGCTGCCCTTCAGACGCCCAGCAGAGAGATTCATAAGGATACCCTTAAACCAGGAGATGTTAGTAGTAATTAGCAATCTTCCTCTTTTACAGCAAATAGATGGCGCTAGGACGGGAGTAAAGCGCACCAGCCGAAACATTCCCTCCCCTAAATGAAGTAGGAGAAACTTGACAGGAACAAGTACCAGAGTTTACACAATCACAGAATAGCTGGGGTTGGAAGTGACCTCTGCAGGTCACACAGTCCAGCGCCCTGCTTAAAGCAGGGTCAACTAGAGAAAGTTGCTCAGGACCTTGTCTAGTCAGGACAGAGACATCACAGCTTCCCTAGCAACCCATTGCAGTGTTGGACCACCCTTATAGTAAGAAGTTTTTTAAGTTCAAAAACTCATTTCTTTTTCTCTTATTTCTGTATGTGCCCATTGCCTCTTGCCCAAGTTTACAGGCAGAGGGGAAATCCCTTGCTCTAACAGACTCGGCAGTAGGACTGGATGCTTGGCTTTCTCCAGAGTGGGTAAAAAACAACTTAGTAAAAACATGTCTGAATTCCACAATCTCTGGCTGTTGGCATGATCCTGTATCCTTTCAAATTTAAGTCAGCTTGCCGTTGACTTCAGAAGGAAAAGAATCAGGTGCTAGGCATTGTAGCTATTTCCACAGCGGTTTCTATGCTGCTGAAGCAGTCTAAAATCGAGAAGATGTGTGTTGATGGCTTTTTCCATCTTCCAAGCACTGGAACATTGTAAAACCATCAGATGTTGGCCTAAAATATAACACCCTTAAGCCAATTGTAGATCCCAAGAAA